TCTGTCTAGGTCCCTTCCGACTCACTGATTCTATGATTCCATGGAATTATACTTGTGTTGAAAGTAGTGGAAGGATCAGATGCTACAAATGTTATTGGGGGTGCTGGTTGTAACTGTGTTGGTCTAAGGACATAGGCACGGAAGGTTCTTTGTGTAAATGTGATATCTTTTATTAGACCAACTAAATAGTTGGAAAATTGTTCTTTGCAAGATTTCAGGACAAACATCCTTCTCCCCATGCCTGAACACGGGTGTTTGTGCCCAAAAGCTTGCAAAGAACAAATATTCCAATTATTTCATTGGTTTAATAAAACATATCACATTTACCCAAAGAAACTTGACTACAAATGTTATATGTATGCACAATAAGGTCTGCATCATGGAGAGTCAGAGGTGGAGTGTGATTCTGAAATGCTTCCTCAGAGGATACTAATTAAAATGGTTTAAAGAATGGTTAATTACAACATGATATCAAGAATTAGGTCATGGCAGTTTCAGCTAATGTCTGATGTCTGTTTGGTTGGATGCCAGTATTGTGCTCATCAGAAGACAGAGGCTGAAACAAATGAAACTGTCTAATTTTGGTTTTTTATTTTAACCTTTAGGAGGAGTTTTATGGAAGGGAATTGATTCTGGCAGACCGAGAAACAGTGGAACAAGAGGCTGATAACATTTTAAAAGATGCTGATCTATTTGATGTTGCTTTTCTTGTAGTTGGTGATCCATTTGGGTAAGATGAGGCAATATTTTATTTATTGCTCTGGCTTTGATATTTGGCTACTATGCTTCCTGAATAAATGGGAGCTCACTTTTGCATAGCTGTAATTTCTTCACTGCAGTGAAGAAGTTGACCATTTTCAGAAACTGAAGTATTTGCTGTTCAGTTACTTGCATAACTGGCTACATCTGTGTTTCATGCAAAAAAATTAAAATTGTTCATGTCATTATTAGTCTTGCTTTGCAGTTCTCTCCCCCAAACAGCTTGCAAAACATCCTCATAAGATAAGAATACAGATCCACAAGCCCATAAATCACCCTTTCAGTAGTCCTGCAGCATTTGTAAAATTGCTTATCATTCTTCAAGCTGTCCTCCTTAAACTTATTCAGTGTCAGATTGTCTGCTAACTGAAGAAATTCTAGGCTATTACATAGTCAAGAAATGTATCATACATTGTAAGAGAGGGTGCTTTTTAATTACCATTTGTATTTATATACTGTGCGTATATGCAGTTACTTTCTAATTGAATGCTGCTTGTTGGTTGCAGATGCTTTTGGCTTTATCTATTATAGTCTTTAAGGACATCTGGGTCATTATAAATGTCTTATTAGTTTGGTTTATTAAGCCTCTTATTTCCATTACTTATTCCCAGCGGTAGCTATAGTCCTTTTCTATCACCAGAAGGATGTCCTTCTGCCTTTTCAGTCAAGCATCATCAATTTGTAATGTCAAACTATACAGAACAGCTCTTTGTCTCCAGCTGGTGATCCAAGATTTATATTACAGCATTAAAGGACGCAAGGAAAATTAAATCACTGAGTACACCGTTTGGGGTGTGTTTTTTCTATAAAAGAGAGGAGTAATATGTGCATGCCTGTCTAAATAGGGTAATTTATGTAAATATGGCTCCAAGGGAAACATCAAGCCATTCTTTTTAAACTAGTACTTAGCTACAGATGATGCTGCCTATTCAGAAATGTCAATACATACTGAAAATATAATTAATATTAAAATTAGGATTCAAATTAGGTTCAGTACTTGTATTCTCTTATGCCTATAAACCATAGATTAACAGTGTGTCAAAATGTAGTTGGAGCTTGCAAATAGATATCTTAACCTGCTTCCTCAAATTCCATAATAATGTTTTCAATGACAAAAACTTTGGTTTTTATTCATTATAGCTTAGTATGCCTTGGAATTCTACCTTCCCAACTACTGCATATTGTCTGAATATGAACGCTTTTAGCTTCTGGGTCTGTAGCCAGAGTCATGTACACAGACCCTAGTACCTATATTAGAGCCCCATTGACTTAAGTGACTATCATGAGGATCATATTGTAGGATTGGGACCTTAAAATTTAACTGAAGAAATCATATTTGTATTGTATAGCAGAGGTTTCAGAGATATAGCCTGAAAACCAGCTCTGGCCCACAGAGCTGTGTCATTTGGCTCACAGGGCTTCTGGAGGGCCTAGAAATTTGGAGGTGGGGCCCACTGACAAATTTCAAGGTACGGAGCCCTGTTGGGGACACATTTTGACAGTGGCATGGCAAGTGATAGATGAATTAATCCCCACAACTCTTTGAGTCAGCAAAGCACTACTTGCCCCACTGCTAGAGATGTGTTTGTGAGGCTCCCTGCTGTCCAAATCTGGCCCACAGGACCAAGTGAGTTTGACACCCCTGTTCCAGGGCATTGCATATATCACATGGTCACAAGTTTTAAACTCTAAAGTTCCTTGGTATACTTCTGAAAAGCACTTATTTAGATGCCTTAGCACTTAGTATAGATTTGACTGCTTAACTTTAAGCAGCAGTGTAGAAATATATAGTATGGGAAGATGTAGAGAATCCCTTTTAATTTAGGGTGATATTTAGTCTTCTAAATCATTGCTAAATCACTTGGGATGGGCAGGAAAGCTTTGCAAAAAAACAAGGAATATATAGAAATTAGGTAGTCTACATTTTTTGTTATTCAAGTATCAAATGTTGCTGCTAATTAAAACTATCTGAAGAAAATGTGGATTGATTTTCTGCAATATATATAAAACTCATAATGCCTATGATGTAAATTGACCAACTTACAAGCAGGATAACACTACAGGCGACCCTTGCCATTTGCAGGGGATACGTTCTCATATCCCCTGTGAATGTCAAAATCCGCGAATAAGGCACTGCGTTTGTGAACACAGTGCCCTTGGCGGCTGGGGGCACGGCTCCAGCAGCGATGGCGGGAACGTGGTGGTGGGAGCACGGCAGCAGGAAGCACGGAGCTCCCGAGGAGCTCTGGTAAGTGTTTAAAGTGTATTTAAAATGTGGGTTTGGCATCTGCGAATATCTGAAACTGCGAATAATGAGGGTTTCTTGTATATATATCAAACTGTTGGTGTATGCAAGCTTAGGAGCACTAACAGCAAAGAACAGTGTTTTGAAGGTAACTGGCTTACTTCAGTTCTTCCTCTCACTAATTATCCCAAGTATTCCTGTTCCACAGGGGGTCTCTAGGGTCTCTAGTGGCTGAGGGCAAGATTGGCCTGTCCTTTTGAAAATCCTATGGGAAGAGAAGCTGGGGAAGTCCATAACTTGACTTCAGAGTTTTCAAGTCTATTTGCCTCCAAGATGGAAGGAAATGTAGTAGGGGTATAGGTGGACTTGTAGCCCTGCAGACTAGGATACCCTAGTCAAGCCCCTTTCTACAAGTGGCAGCTGCATTCAAAATATCCAAATCTTTTTTTTCCCCAAACAGGTGGCTCTCTGTAGCAGTAATTGCAATAGTAAATATACTAGAGTAGACCTGATGACTTTTAGCTTTGTCATCAGACAGCATGGTGACTTTAAAAAACAAAAATCCACCTTTAGTCTATGCTAGTGCTCCCCTCGTTGCTGCTCCCAGTAAAAGTGCACTGATAGCAGAACAGTGATGGGAAAAGTGGTAGTGTTGGGCTGTCCAACTAGTGTAAACAGGGTTGTGAGGGGTTAAATTGCAGCCCACAGTCTTGTTGGTGTGGCTCCAAAACCCAGGTAGTGAATGCCCTGCTGTTCCCTCCTACAACCCTTGCCCACTACCAAATTTGGGGTCTTCAGGCATCACTGGCAACCCAAATCAGTGGCGGGAGAAGGTGGGGAGTGAACAGCAGTGTTGTTCACACCTTGGATTCTAAAACCATCCAGCCCATGAGGGTCTGCGTGGGGCCCATGGGGCCAAATAGGCTGGACCATGCTGCTGTAGACAAAGGCGTGGAGGGCCTGACTCCTTCAGGCCTCCTGCTACAATTAGCAGAGTCCTCAAGCACATCACTTGCAGCTGTGCTGTGGTCCTCCTGGGGGAGGTCCAATGCGAGTAAATGCTGGCTGGAACAGATTTCAGTAAATAAAGCCAGCTGGTCCCCAGATCCATCATTAGCAAACCCACAAAGTCTTACAGAGCCCTTGTCTCTCAGATGCAAAGAGAAGAGGACAAGTCAGCCTCTCAGAGCAGATGTGCTCAAATTCCCTTCAGAAAGGGGAGGGGATGGTTCAGCTGTTAATGAGAAGGCTGTTCTATGCCCAGACCACCTTAGTGCTGCTCTCCTGAGGATGGGAGCCTATTTCTGGCCACTTCCGAACTTCCCAACATTCAGACCCTTAGGCTTAATCTGCTGCAACGAGGTTGATTTTTAGAAAACAGCTCTTCCTCTTACCCCTCCCAGCAGCTGCCACATTTGAGTCAATATCTGAGACCCCTGATCATGCCACAGAATGGAAGTGAGAGGGGCAGTAAGGATGGGAAAATGCCTGGCTAGAGGTAGAAGGAACTCTGTTAGGCTTAGGCTGAAACCACAGAGGAGGTCATGGCTAAAGCAGTCTTCCTGTTTAACTAGTCCACTCAGCCAGATGCTGTTTCTTTCCTTGCTTACCTCCATGGCATGAGCTGTATTGTCTGAGGTGCCTTGGGGAAAAGGAGGCAGCTGAAGCCATTGTTCAGATTTGATAGATTTTTAAGAGTATTTTCGCATTTCACATATAATATGGAAAACATGGTACTTCCTGCACATCCCTGTGAGCATGTGTGCTATTTGCAATCAAGATTAGATTTCAGTGCAGTTTTGATGCTGAAAGTACTCGTGGTCTACATCTGGACAAAACTCTCAACAATTCTGCTGTGAGTTTTGCCCAGCTCTGAGGACTATAGGTCCATTTTGATTGATGCACCAAATACAGCTCTATGGTAAGTTTAAGTGGCAATTTCCCCTGTTTACTTCAGGAATAAATATAATCCCTCATTTGTATGTTCCTTACAAATTTCAGTGCTGTTTCTCAGAGCCTCTGTGGACTGGTACTTAAACATCTCTCTTATAAATATATTTTACCAGCCAAATATTTGTCCAGTGAATTAATGCATATCTGCTACATGGGAAAATAAACAGTACTCTTCAGACTGTAAAAAGTTCTATGCACTGTATAGTGCTGTCCCCCATCATGTTCACAGAGGCTGTCAGAACAAGTCTGGTTGCACAGTAATTAAGGAGACACCCGAGTTACGCTGGAGTTGCTCTCTGCTGAGTAAAACTGAGTTTGCTCTTCAACAGATGTCCAGTAAGCACCTGCAAAAGACAAAGGGCAAACAGAATTTTCCTCTTAGAGTGGCTGCCAAAAGTTACTTTAAAAAGCAACAATTGTGCTACTGTTGTAGCTTGAACTTTATGAGAAAGCTGCTAGGAGCAGTGAAATGCTGTGGCTGTCTCTAATTTCAGCCTTGGAGGACCAAATATGGAAGCCCTTTTCTGGGATTTATTGTTGTGGGGAAGTCAGTCTGGCTACTGCTGCCCTCTTGGCACTCAGCACAACATTAATTTATGAGGCATTTTGATTTTACTTTCAAAACAAGCTACAGTGGTGGTGACAGTTGCTGAAATCTTCTCAGTCTAATGCATTTCCCTCCGTATCACAGGGCCACAACACACAGCGATCTAGTTCTACGTGCAGTAAAGCTGGGGATTCCATACAGGGTTATTCATAATGCTTCCATAATGAATGCAGTGGGCTGCTGTGGATTACAGGTAACTCTTCTATACATACTGTTTTTACAACTGAAAAAAATTAGAATAAATGGCCGCTGCTGTTGTGCATTCATTAAAGGGCTGTATGATGTAGTCCAAGAGACAAAGCTGTAGAATTGCTAATATTCTAAATGTGCTGTAGAATAGTCAAAATGTGCTAATATTTCCTTTTCAGTGAGCTACATATGTTATCACTGTGTCATGTAGTGTTGGGAAAGTGAATGGTTCCTTTGTACTGATGTTTGTGTAAAAACAGCGTGCAACAATTCTGGATTTTTTATTCACAAATAAAACCAGTAACTCAAAAACTAGGCAGTATTTTCTAGATATCTTTTATACGTGAAACATTTTGTGTGTATAATAACTATTGTTCTCTTCAGTTTCTTCTCATAGGGGTGGACAAATGGACAGTGTAATTCTCAAATTGAAGTTGTTATTCTGTTGAGAAATATGCTGCTACTGAAAATAAAATCAGAATGTACATGATTCTCTGTATGGTGCCCCCTTCAGATTATAAACAATGCCTGAATTCAGGCACCCTCCTAAGTGTCTATTCATTCTCTGTATGGTGGCCAACAGCAAAGAGATAAATGAACTTTATAAGGGGAGTACAAGGATGAGGCTTGACTTTTTTTTGATTGTTTGTTGCGTGGCTGGTAGGTTAGTTAGTGTGGATCTTAAATGAGGTTCAGAAAATTAGGGACCTATTTAAAATATTTAAGAGAATACCTTGATAATAATCTCTGTGTACATCCTTAAATCTTCTGTTCTGTTCCCTTCTCTTTCTTCCCTGTAGCTGTAGGAAGTGACATTGTTTCAAAGGAAGGAGTGAAAATAGCTCCAACCCCACAAGTGGATGATGGAGTGTTTTTGTTTTAAGCGTGTAGGGAAAATAGGTGCTTACTGGCTAGAGAGCCACAGGAACTGCCTGACAGAAGTCAATCTTTGGGGTGCCCCAATATTTATAATAGTTTCCATTGTACAATTCCATAATATACATATAGTTTCTGCTTTCAACAGAGTTAAAGCAACACTCTCTGGCTGATGTTTGGCAAGGAAATACTAAATGGCTTCCTTTCACAGGCATCCAGCAAACTCACTCTCTTTTTCATAAAGAAAAATGTTCAAGTAACTTGCATTGTTACTAATCCTATGTATTATAGTTATTTGCAACTTCCACTTCATTATTTTTGTTTGTTTTCCTTTGTTGGTCTTGTTAGTAACAGATTTGTTGGCCCTATGCTCAGCCCTATCTCTTTCTTCCCCCAAGGAACTTACCGTCTAAGGCATTAAACCTGACACTGGCTTCTTAAGTGTGGGCCCCTCTGTAGCACTCCATCAAAGCTGATGAGGCTGAATGGGAGCACAGGGCTCTGCCCAAGGGGACCCAGCAATGAAAACAGCCTAGGCCAGTCAGTGGTTCTCAACCTTTTTAGACTAATAACACTCCTCAGAAAATGCTGTCTTAGTTTTCACTAATTTTTTTTTTTACTACCAAAAAATAATAGATCAATTCTTTTGTTGCAAAGAACTCAGAAAGCTCACAGCAGGTCAGAATGCTTTTAACAGTATGGATTCCTATTTGAAATTTCTGGGTTTATCTTGTGAATCAAGTGTAGGTGTTTGCACTCCTAATGGTGCTAATATTGTTCAGCACTCATGGCACCCTTAAAAGAATCTTATTTGACCCTTCTCTGTTGCAGGAGGAAGGTGCACTTCCCAGCCTGAAGTAGGGAGAAGTACTTGTTTAGCTTTTGTTTTTAGCAAACAGCAGACACCCCCAAACTTAAACTGAAAAACCCAACGGCTTTATTTTGGCAATTGCCAGAAACTGCATAGCCACAAGCAGTACCCATGCTGTTGCATCTATCCTGGAACATAAATGCTAAATGTGACATTAGTAATGACATGACTCCCCTGGGAGTACTTTCTGGGCAAGACCTGCTTATCTGTGTAAGACACAAAGTGAACTGTCTTTTAGGAAGGAAACGGACTCCTTGGTGTTAAAATTCTACATTGAGAGCAGACAGGTGGCAGCTGTCACATGTCTGTATTTAGTGGGTAGGATAGAACAAGGCATAGCGTGAGCTGCTTTTTTGTCTGGCTTCTAGCGCATGTAAAGTTTGCCTCTGTTGTCTGGAGCTGGTAGCTGGCTTCTACTGCTCATGGGCATGCAATATTCTCTCTTTGCCAGTAGGAAAAAACCTGCAGGATTCACAGCCTCAGAGAGTGCAGGTGACTGTTAACACTTGCATAGCTTTTTCTGAAAGATGGTTGGACCATGGAGCTATTGATATGAGTGGCAGGTGAGAGGTGGCTCTTCTACTTACTACTCTAATCAGGATTTGGTTAAAATAGCCTGTGCTTAGGTCACATACACAAACTTCCATAGCTGCACAGCTTTATCCAATGCTGAGGGAGCAGACCTTAAAGGAAATGGGAGGATATTTACCATAGCAGTAATCTCTTTCCTTCCTGATGTGTAAAGCACTACCTTCTCATAAGCTGGTCATTCTCACTGGTGTGGAAAACATGGTGTGGAAGTCCAGCATTACTGAACAAGTCCATAACCAGCATCCTCAAGGGAACAAACAGTTAATGAAGGCTAGGGAGATAAGCATTAACATGGCTACTGTAATATATTTAAGATCATGACTATTTACATCGTCCCTCAGCAGTCTGCTTTTTATGTGTCTTTTTTTGTGAGCAATTGCTTTTTGAAGCATTGAGTTACTATTATCTAGTGTGCCAGGGATTCCTCTTATGTTTCACCACAAAAAGGGTTGGGCACATAATCTGATTGTGATAGGGTTTTTTTTCTTACTCTGCTAGTAAAAAACAGGAAACACCTTTATAGGTTGTTCTGAAAACTATATGTACACTGAGTTGTAGCAGCTGATTAGGCTCTGTCTGCAAGAAATACAATTACTGCCCAAGCTGCTCACAAAGAATGTGTCTCTTGTCACCAGAGCAATGTTTAATTTTTTTCTATGCTACCTATAATATGCAGTTAGTCCTACAAGATGAACCCTCATGCTGTGAACTGACAGTTTCTAGAACTCAGAGAGCAGAAAGGTATTTCTTTCTATTCTGTACATCAAAAGTACAGAACACAGATGAATACAGATATGAGGAAAATATATATCCCACTCCAAAAGTGCACATGCAGTATAGATCTGTAGCATTGTTCCAGAGAATCAGAACAGTGTGGTCATGTTAAAGACCAGCTGCATTAAAATGTTGAAGTAGCTACTGCATTGTTTCATATAACCTTAAGGTTTTGTAAAGCCCTATAATGCTGGAGTTCTGGAAACAACATTTTCTTGAGGAAAAACATGGTGGGAAAGTGCCATGTGTGGTTGCCGTTAATCTCTGTGGCTCTAGTTAACATCATTTCCCAGTCACTGGGACTGAACTCCATTCTAAATGCCCTGCAATTCCAGATCTGGGTGAACAGAACAGTCCTGTCAGGGAAGATGGGGAAGGGGATGCACTCCCACAGGGTTCAAGTAGAAGGCTTTGATGGATAGTGATTACTGGGCCACTTCAGCTTTCTTCCATGCAGCAGCTGAGCTGAACTTCTTCAGGCATTAGGAAGTCAAACACTTTGAGCAATGACCTCAGCTCTGCCCCAGCTCAGCATCTTCAAGAAGGAGTCATGGCCTCATCACCATTTCCTCCTGCAATGATATCGCCTGTAGGTACAAGAAAGGGATGGGCTCAGCCTACGTTCCTCGTGTTTTAGCTCTGCCTGCATTCAATCTTTCAGACTTTGGGGCTTAACGTCTTGGCCTCTAGATCAGTGGTCTCCAAACTTTTTTTGATTGCGCACCCCTATCAGTAAAAAATTTTTGAGCATGCACCCCCAATATATGTATATTTATATAAATATATATATAAATTGAAGTTCTAATATTTTCTTCCTGCACCCCACTTTGGAGACCACAGCTCTAGATGGCAAAGGCAGAGGTGCATGCTAAGAAAACTCAGAACGTCTGATTTACACCCACTTTTTTTGCAATCTTGATTGCACGTTCTGGATCTGACTGAACAGGCTGCTGACTGGGGTTGTCAGACTGGCAGCTACTATGCAGAAATTTAGGCTGACACAATCTTCCCGTGCACTTGTAGAGCAGATGGTCAAAACGTGGTTGAGACATACAGAATCAGTAGTTCATAGGTCTGTTATACTTGCATAAAAGATGCGATAGTCAGATAACTGCATATTAGCATTGACCTCCAATTACGTGAGAATGCGGGCAAGAAGCAGCTTGTGAATTTTCCCTCTGTCCCATAGGCCAGCACTAGAAAAATTGAGGTAGCACTGAAATGTGAGGCAAAAGAGTAGCTATGTGGATAGTCCTAAAGATCAGGGCTTTCGAGGAGGAGAACTAGAGGAGCAAAGAGGTTGGCTAATGAGACTGAAGGCAGAGAGAGAGTGAGGGAGAGGAACTTGGTACTATTTAGATGAAGAGGGATTAACATGAGCAAATCCATCTCATTTTTGTTTGCAGTGTCCATTTTGGCAGTTGAATCCAGCTGGCTCTTGGCCTTCAGTAGCTGAGAAGTAGCCTTCTCTGCACGGTCCTTGCATGACCCTACTTTTATAATCCCTCCACCATTTGGTTGTCTGACTCAACAAGCAGCTGTAAAAGGAAGTGGTCTGGCCCTAGGTGGTCAGCAGCATCTATTGTGTTGTGGTGACCCATGCTCTTGCCTCATGAACAAATGGTAGAAAGGAAAGGCTCAAATTGGTCCTTTGGCATATCTTTTTTCCTTTAGTATGAGGAGCAGTGTGGTAGCTCCAGGGCCATAAACACCCTTCTTCCTAGTTAGTGCTTCTCATCTCTTTCTTGTGGGAGCATTGTGGGACATACATGATTACGAACCAGAAGAAGAAGCGTCAGCCACCACTGGGAAAACGGTGTTGCTGGTTACACAAGCATAATTTTAAAGGGGAATTCGGTAAAATGCCAAATAACTTGGCTGGATCTAGGTTT